ACCTTCAGAGGAGGCTGGGCAGAACCTCCTGCACACGTGTTAAATAATGTGATGAGGACACAGGGCCTGGCCTGGGATCAGTGCTCAGTCAACGCTAGCCACCGGTATGTCATTTCAGGTCATTATTATTTTATGATAAGGGTCCTAACCTAAGAGATGCTGAATGCTTGGGACTCACACTTTTTCATTTATAGAAGTTTTTGGTTTCTGGGCTCAGGAAATCTTCAGTATGATCACGGAGGCTGTCTTGGAATGCCACGGCCACTTGGTAATGACAAGTTATTTTACTAAATCTTTCCCTTTATTCCTGTTTGGGTGGAGCAGAGATGGCTGAACAGATTATTCCGTTTGTGTGGCTCACAGATACTCTACTCTTACACATGCAGGGCACCACGCTAGCTGTGGAAGATGCAAAGGTGACTGTGACACAGCTCTCCTCTTGCCACATGAGTCCAATGAGCACAGGGGAACCAAGAGAGCCAGTGCAACCTGTCAATGCCTCCTCAGTTTCTGCTACTGACTTGGCGGACGCCTTCCTGCGGTCCTGTGGCAGGAGCCCGTCTCTGTGCCGCAGAGCTCACTCTTCCTGTGGTCCTGTCAACCCTCAGCTTCCTGTCTACTGAAAAATCACTCTGGAACTTTCTCTCAAACTCAGGGCTTCATAAAGCCATAAAAAGAAACAGACGCCTCTTCTATCACTTTTAATACCACTGACCATCTTCACAGGGCCCCAGACTGGATCTTGTGTGGATTCGAGGGTGCAGGTGTGTGCCTCCGTTATATGCTAAGGTCACCAGATGAGGGGGAGTGGATGATGGGAGACGCCAGGCCTGCTCTGCCGCACTTGCCAGCTGGAACTGAGGTCTGCCCTGATGCTGCAGGGAGAGTGACAAGACCTTTTCCAGACCAGAGAGGTTTAGGAAGGGGAGTGATGTCTGCCTCCCACAGGCAGCTCAGAGACAATCAGCCATGGAGGCAAGGGGATGACCATGAATGCACATAAGCTTGCTGAAGTAGCCACTGAGACCACCAAAAAGTGGCCAAGGAATAGCCAAGAGTGAGCTTGGTAGCATCATGCACTGGGGAATCAGGTGACCAACTGAAGGGGATGGTGGGTGAGCTCGAGGACAAGTTGACAGGTCTGCCATCTAGTGCCAGGCACAGGGGAGACAAGGGCAGCCCTGAGAGCGGGCAGAGAAGACATGGAGAGACCACGAAAGGCCAAAGAGAGGAGCAGCAGGCATGTGAGAACCAGTCCCACGCAGGAGACTGCAGGGCAGAGGGACAGGAAGACACACTGGCGGGAGATGACAGGCAAGAGGTGTGAGGCGTTGAGCAAATGACGAGGGCAGCGCCAAGCACACGGGAGCAGCGGGGTGGGCGTCTTCAGAGGCCAGCATTAGAAACTCTATTGACAGAAGTCATAAACGAAGCTAAAAAACCTAATGAACTCATTGCTGTGGTGCTCACGACAGAAGATGAGAGACAGATGCCAGCAGCAGACGTGCGCTTCCCAGAGGACAGGCCGGGGAGCTGCAGGAAATCAGAGCCTGCGGAACAGGTGATGGGGAAGCCTGGGCCTCCACAGCCCGCCAGGCCGCTCGCTGATGCCCGAGAGCCAGCTGATGAAGGGAAAAGGGGAAAACCACCGTGGAGCCCACAGATGCCAGCCCCTCTGGAGGCAGGAGGCCTGGCCCACCAGAGCAAGACGGGCGCGACCCACGGTGGGCAAGAGCCCAAGCTGTCTGGGCTCAGAAGCCGGTTCCACTCATGGCTGGGCATGTGCCCTCTGCTACTCCAATAGCACCTGGATGGCGGGAGGTCATGGCGGTCAACTCCCTGGGCTCCTGGCCATGGTCTCTCTGAAGAGCAGGCAGCTCTGGCCATTGACACTCTCTCTGGGCCACTTTCTACCTTTTGTGGAAACAGCTCCCACCTCCCTGAAAGCTCTTCCACTCCCAGAAGCACTCCACGCAGGGCTCCCCGCACCACCCCACCACTGCAGTGTCTGCAGCAAGCAGACCTACCTGGGGACGTGGCAACCGGCTCGTCTTTTACACACAGTTTCACTTCTCAACTCCCTCTATATTCCTGGCAATTTGCACGAAGCCTCTGGGTTCACAAACACCCAGTAGCTAAAAGGGAACAAGTCCTGGCTCTGCCTGAAATGACAGCCGCGACAACCTTGCCGACACTCTGACCTCACACTTCCAACCTGTGGAGCTGGGAGAAACGAACATCTGCTGCTCAGGCCCCGCTGACGTGTTCTGCTCCCTCGGCCCCCGGGCTAAGAGCCACTGGCATCGCCTGGCAACCAAGTGAGACAGACTGCGGAAACCCTGCAACCCTGCCCTCCAGGCCACCCCCCACAGTGAGAAAGAGGTGCTTGGACCCTTATTTCTGATGGTACAGCTCTGCTCCCATGGAACTACACATCGGGACTGTCCTGGACTCCCACCCCAGTGTCCTTTCCCTGGCTGTGCCCATGCGGCAGCGAGCACCTTCCTGTCGGGCATCTCAGTTTTCCTCTAGCGCTGTTTCCCAGGAGTCCTGCCCAGCCTGCCAGATGCATCCTCCTTCGCAGGAAGCAGCCTGTCCCTTCTACCTCTGGGCTGCCGCTTCTCTAAGGCAGGTGACACTGCTTCTTCCAAAGGTTGTCCCAGAACCTCGGAACAGCTACAGATAGCTACATCTCTGACACCCTGGGAAACCAACTTTATCATGTCCTCCTGTGGGCTCCGAGGACGGTGTGGACCTTGTGTCCTCCCGTGTGCTCTGAGGATGCTGCAGCTTATGGATCTTCTCTTATGGTCCTGTTCATCATTTATTTTATGATTTCCAGTTGGAAACACCATGTTGAGGCTTTATTTTCCTGATCAATAACTGATTCAATAAGGCAATGAGCAAATTACTCATCAGCCTTATGAGATGGACCGCCATGTCACTAGTGCCTGCTGGCCAGCCATGCAAACTGATTGGCATCATCTTCACCCAAGGGGCCAGGGTCCTGGATATTTTTGGGAAATTCCTCATGGAAAAGAGGTTTTGCATGTGAACTTTAGAGCCTTGTCTAGGAAGATATTCTCCATCAAGAACAGCTTTGAAATAAAATGTTCAAGGTTTTTTTTTTCATTCCTTTGGCCCCAGAGGTGATGAGGCTAGGACTGAGTTCAGGCCTGGAAGAGACCCTGGCTAGGCCATAAAGTGAATTATGTGTATTATAAAGTGTATTATACTAGCAGTAAAGATTAAAAATGAAAAATATTTAATTTTAATAGTTCAATATGTTACCTGTAAAAATAAATTTCAGTTTTTCTCAAATTTAGTAAATAACATAATTAATGTAGCTTAAGTAGTAAGAAAAACTGGAAATTTATTGGCAGAATTATTACAATATTATTGGTTAGGAACCAAATGTATATTAAAATGTAGATTAAAAATTAACTTTAGTTACATCACAAAGTAAGAAAAAAGTGCTTTTATGACTTGATGTTTAGAATTTTTGATTTTTGCTTTTAAAAATAACAATTAGTTTACTACTATAATTTTCAGGTTTGTTTTAAAATGAAGAGACAAGAGAAAAAACCTGAGGTGTGTCTGGCACTTCAAAGCATTCTTAAAATCTGGTATATTTTAACTGTGGGAGACGTGTCCTGTACTCCAAGAAACTCAGGAGGCTTAGGCAGGAGGATTGCAAGTTCGAGGCCAGCTTTGGCTACTTATTAGCTAGACTATGTCTCAAAATAAAAAAATAAAAAGGACTGGGGAGGTATATAGCTCAATGGTTAAGAGCTCCTGGGTTCAAACCCCAGTACCCAAATAAATAAATAAATTAAAACAATGCAATAGTTTAGATTAATTTTGGTGCCTCCCTCCCCCCCCCCTTTTTTTTTTTTTTAATAAAAATGATCCATAGCCACAGTGTGTTTCCTGCAGAGAAGAGCCTGTAAACAAGCTCTGGAAAAATCCTGATTCCACAAACACAATGCATGAGCTAGGCCAGCTCTGTAAACAGGCAAAGCCAGTTGCAAGATGAAAATGTAGGGCCTTGTGCTCAAAAGGCAGGAAAAGTGACCACCCTCTTGCAGCCTCGCTTACCCTGCCATCCTTGTATTTGCTACTTGCTCCACGGGAACGCCCTCAGACCATGGTAGCCCTTCTTGGTGTCCAGGGCCCTATCCAGTGACTAGCACTAGGAATCGCACCAGACCCCAGGCCTCCAGCACCCATGCCAGGGCCCAGGGAGCTTGTGGCTGAGAGCCAGGCCTGGGAAGGCGAGAAGTGGCAGGAGGTGGAGTAGGAGAGCCCTGGGCGCGCACTCCACAAAACAGGACTCAAAGGTTAAAACAACAAGGACTTTAAGGTGATGCTGCAGAGCACCAGGCCCAGGCATGGGGCCCCAGGCCACTGCTCTGGTGGACACCCATGAAGCCACCGGAACTGAGACTGAGAAAGATGCACAATAGAGGGAAACTAGGATCATTCCCACTTTCGTGCTTCTTTCTCATTTACCTCCTGAATTTCCACATCGTTACTCCTTACATGTCACGTCTTTGACCAGCAGACCCTTCAGTGGGGCATACCACATGTGGGACGAGGACATCAAAGTGAGAAATAAGCACATGATGCTAACAGCACATCCATATGCTGGACACCACACTCAGAGTGCTAAGGGCCCCCATGAACCCCGTCATCTGCAGGGCTGAGGACTCTGAGAGGAGGGACAGGCCACCTGACCTCTCTAGGGCTCTGTGATGGCGGGTTCTGCAAAGGGGTGGGAGGAATAAGCAGAGCAATAGGTGCTGGCTTCATTTGCTAGTGAAGGCACAGCTAGGTGTGATCACAACAGCCCCGTGGGCCAGAGCGGGGCTTTCTTCTGCACCGAGCTGTGGGGACAGCAGGCCATTAGCAGGCAAAGCCAACGGTTCCCCTTAGCTCGGTGTACCACTTACCGGACATCACAAGAGGGCACGGCGCTGCTCATGGAAAGAGGCCCTTACCTCATTTGCTGTGTTGTGTGTTCCAACGATTCGGATGAAGGAGGCAGGCTGCCTTTCAAAAGTCACCGACTGCCAGGACCTGCGAGAGCAAACACAACCGTTGGCCTGGTTACATGGCACAACTGACCCATGCTGGTGGCCCTGTCCATGAGGGGGGCCTCCCAGCCTGGGTGCTTGTGCAGTAGGAAGGGTGGGGGTTGTAGGAAGGGTGGCAGTCGAGAGGCAGGAACATACGGTGCCCCACTCAGACCAACATCTCATCAAAGAGGGCACGCCATACCCTGAGATTGGCACTTAGGATTTTTATAAAGCCCTCTAAAAATGAACACCAAGTGTAGGCCATGTCTGATGGGACAAGAGTGTAGCAAAATATAAACACAATTAGGGTGACGGGAGCTCATAAAATACATTTCCTCATCCATAAAATAGGATGGGATGGTGACCCCAGAGGGCCGTGGGCAGAATGACCAGGGTAACTCATTGGATGTGTGTGCGGGGGCAGGTCCTCGAGATTCCGGGAGGAGAGTTTCGCAGCAGGGCAGCAGGGCAGGGGTGGGCAAGCCCAGAACTTGGGCTTGGAGCAGCAGGCCACTCACTATGGTGCCATAGAGGGCACCTGGGGGCAGGCGGGGCTCCCCAGGCCTCCAGCTTTCCCATTTCCAAAGCCTGGCCTGGCTCTGGGAGCTCTCAGAAGCAAACCCAGTATTTTAAAGGCAACTCTGCTCTGATCAGCCTGGGAAGGGCCACTCCTTTAAAAGCTAGCAGAGAAGGCCCCAAACAAACTCGGGGAAGAGGAACTTGGCTCTTGGCTAGTGCCCGGCAGCTCATCAGAATGCGCTGGAGGAGCACGAAGCACCCACGACCGTAAACTCCAATAATATTTTCTATAATAAACGTGAGGAGTTCACAGTCGTTGCCATCCCTCCTCCATTCACACAGTGGAAATGCCAGCTGCCACGAAGCTGTTTCCTGTAATTGTCTAATTACCAAGGAACGCTAGCAAAGGAAATATATGTATTTGCAGTTTGTTTTCCCCTCTTGTTTCAGGTGTTCCATCTTCCCTCTCACTACCAACCTCCCACTGAGATTGATTCACTGCTGCCTGGACACCAGTCCTCTTAAGGTCATTAAAAAGTCGTTACCATCCTGTGTGCAAAGGCTGCGCCTCTAAAAGCAGTTTTCTAAAAACAGAGTAAGAAAAATCGCTCTCCTTGTGAAAACAACATTATTCATACACGAAGGTGATGCCACCTGACATCCCCAGAGCTGCGTGCTTGCCCATTTCTTGACAGGAGACTCTGACAAGCCTGCGGGCCGGGAGGTGTGTGAGGTCCTGGGGTTCCACAGGCCTGGCTGCCACTTTGAACTATGTGTCCCATCCCTGTCCCTAAAGGAAGCTGATGGCACCCACCTGCCTCCCAGACCAGGAAAGGGAACAACCAGCACAAGTTACAGCCACTGTTACTGGGTTTAAGTCATCATTTCACGAGAGGATTTCGGGGTGGTGGGGAGGAGCAGAGCAGACCACACGGAGATCTTGTTCTTGGCTTTCCAGCCCTATGCCTGTCTATCTCCTAGTGATGCAGGATTTAAGGTAAGACTTTACATTTGGGAGCTCTAGGTCCTCCACAGGTGGGGCCACCCCTCCCCCCGTGCAGTGCAGAGAGGAAGGGGCTCAGGGAGAAGTGAGGTTGGCTGTCAGTGGTCAGGGCCTCAGAGCAGCCTGGCTCCCAGCCCCCGCTTCCCACCTTCTCCCCTCCCGCAGCTCTTTTCTCCTTGCCCCAGGCTTGCTGGGGTTCAGGGCTCTGGGCAGGGCAGCAGCCTGAGTAGGAGGGAGCATTTGTGGAGTAATAAGATCAGAAGGTCTCAATTTACTACCGATCCTCCATTACGCTGCATTAATATCTAATCACATTAGAGTTCATTTTCACTAACACAGCCTGAGAGTTGAATATATGATTTCATTTTCAGCAGAAGTAGATACCAATCCTAAGACCAAAGTATCTGCAGGAAGGAAGCTGGCTGGGGGGAGGTAAAGAGCGCCTCTCTCCCCAGCCACCAGATTCCATTTCCCCTGGACTTCTTTAAGACAACTGGAGATGCTGCTCAACAGGGAAAGACAAAGTGGCTTTGGAACAGCATCACCACAACTGAGCTGCATTTGTAATCACTGTGCTTCCTCAAAGGACACCACCTCAGTTGAGATTTCACAGGGCCAGGGGACTTGATCCAAGTAGAAGCTCAACAGTGGCTTTTAGTGAGCTTTACTGACATCTGCATAAGTACCCCAACCCACCACGCACCCAGAGTCTCTACTTCAGTAGGCACAATTTCCAGGAAAGTTAAGACAGCCTTGGCTGTGGCAGCCCTCTCAGCTCAGCACTAGGACTGGGTCCTGGGAGGAAGGTGTCTAAATAGGAGGTACCGGGTCAAAAGATAAATGTGCACTTTACTTTCAGAGTTTACCATAAACTGAAAACTCCACACAGGACCAAAGTTCCAACCCTGAACCTGTTAGCTCTATAGAGGACAAAGCATACACTTTCCTAAGGCGTGGTTTCCTCACTTGTCAATGCATCTGGAAGGAAGTTCCATGTCACCCAATGTACACGTGGACTCATAGAGGAGTGTCCATAGAATCCAATATGTCAACCAAGATCTTAACTTTGATGGAAGAACTTTGAGAATCATTTACTTTATTTTTTGACTTTTCCATACTGTTTGAATTTGGTAGAAAATGTATCTACCTTGTCTGTTGCCCAAGGATTTGACACAGATCACACGGTATGAAGCTGCTGAAAATGCAGTGCTGTGCCCTTATGGAGAGCATTTCCAGGTGACAGGAAAGGTTTTATCCTGGTCTTTCACAGACAAGGGTGCAATGGTTGAGAGCTCGGGTCCTGGAGCCAGGCTGCCTGAGTTTGAATCTCAGTTTAACTTTCAACAGTTCTATGACCTTAGGCAAATTGCTTAACCTCTCTGGTCATCTGTAGAATGGGAATACTGAAAATAAAATATTTCTTTTATTTTTTTATTTGTAGAGGAACACACAATATTTTTTTTTATTAATTTATGGTTTTGTTTTGTTTTTTAATGTGGTGCTGAGGATTGAACCAGTGCCTCACACGTTAGGCAAGTGCTCTGCCACTCAGCTACAGTCCCCAGCCCCTTAAAATATTTTTATGAAGGTTAAATACATTAAAAAATGTAAAACACCCAGAACAGTGTTAACATACACTAAGTTCTAGAAAAAATTAATGAACCTGGAACAGACGAACCTGGGCCTCATCTAGGAGTCATCAAGTTTGACAGTATATGAGTCAATGACCACCAGGGGCACCCCAGGTGACTGCCATCAGCACCCATTTCTTTGAGGCAGACAGGCAGTTGGGCTTTGGAGAAATTAAACAAGAATGTGTTGATATATTCTTGAGCTTGGCACCTGCCGGGTGTGATGGGGGATCCGTGCAAGATGTACTGCCTGCCCTTAAGAAATTTATTGTTTCACCAGGGAGATTAACTATCCTTCCACAAACTAATTAGGGAACAATGCAAACAGTACAGTGGACCCAACTAACTGGTGGAGTTCCAAACTTCCCTTGTAATTGGTTGTGTGATGCCTGAAAGCAATTTTTCCAAAGAAATAGAGCTATAAATTTTGATGGGGTTCCCAGGCCCACCCACAAAACTCAATTTAACTCATAATAAGGCTGAAATATTATATATATCAAGTTTAAAAAAAGAAAATAAAATTATGTTGTTGCCATAGTGGTAATCAAGCACATCAGAAAAACAAGGGATTGAAAGCAATCTTCTCAAAGCCCCTGCTTGAGGAATGAGGATTAAATGCTGTCATGCACATAAAGTCATGGGGACACAGTGGGAACACAGCAGGTGGCTGCTGAAGGTGAGGGAAGGGGCCCAGCGAGTCAGACCATGCAGACCACGTCTGGGTCCCTAGACAAGCTGTAGGGTAGGTGAGCAGCCAGCAGGAGCCCCGCCCAGAGGTGAGGCACCAGACAGAGAAGATGGGCCATCTGCACAGCATCCCAGAGCAGCCAGGTCGGGGCTGGGGATGTGGCTCAAGCGGTAGCGTGCTCGCCTGGCATGTGTGCGGCCCAGGTTCAATCCTCAGCACCACATACAAACAAAGATGTTGTGTCCACCAAAAACTAAAAAATAAATATTAAAATTCTTT